AAGGGAGTACGTGATCCTCCCGGTCACGTGAGGGTGACCAACAATTGAATAAACTCATGACCCTTGAATAAAAAAACATGGTGATTATTGCAGACACTCATAACAATGAGGGCACATTAAGTGGTTACACAAAAACAGTTCGTCAACAAGTGCAAAAAAACACATTTGCAGATAGAGCCATCGACAATGACACAAAAGTACCCCTGATGAGCCCATTAGGGTATAGTGCAATGGTTGCCTGCGCCTTAGGCAAGAGAAGGCATCAAGTGTAAAGGTGCAATTACATTCAATAGCCCGATAATAACACTCGGGGTCAAGTAATAACATGGTCAGAAAGATTCACAATAACATACAGTATCGACGAAAAACATTCGGTACCGATAAGGCACACAAAAAATTGCAAGGTTCAAGCAGGGCATGAGCCCAGAACTGCCCTCCCAAAGGCCATGTCAGGTGTATACCTGGTGTTCAGTCTGTAATGTGAAACAAATGTCTGAGGATTCTTCCAAATGGCCGCCTTGCAAATAGCGTCCAGGGGAATCCCCTTAAGAAAAGCCGTGGAGGCCGCCATAGCCCTGGTCGACCGAGCCCGGACGACCGAGGGGGGTTGTCTTCGAGCCAACTGGTAACAAAGCTCGATGGTCGAAGTGATCCAGTGCGACAAGCGTTGCGCCGTGATCGGCAGGCCCACCTTATCCGGGGCATATGCAGCAAAGAGTCTCTGAGTCCGTCGAGACTGAGCAGTCCTGTCCTTATAACACAGCAAAGCTCTCCGCACATCGAGCATATGAAGTCTCTTCTCCTCTGGGGTAGAGGGGAGCTGACAGAAGGATGGGAGGATAATGTCCTCATTAACATGGAAGGGGGACACAACCTTAGGGAGGAATGTCACATCTGTGCGGAGAACTGCTCTGTCCTCGTGGACAACAAAGTAAGGTTCGTCCACCCGCAATGCCGCGAGCTCCGACGGTCGTCGTGCCGAGGTGATAGCGACCAGAAAGGCCACCTTCCATGACAACAGCCGAAGATCGATCAACGCCAACAGCTCGAATGGTGGTTCTGCGAGCCGAGCCAGCACGAGGTCGAGGTCCCATCCCGGGGTCGGAGAACGAACCGGGGATGCAAGTTGTTGAAACCCCGTAAAAAGGATTTCACAGAGCTGTCCTTAAACAAGGAGGCTTCACCTGCCCGCTGCAGCTGTCGTGAGATGGCTGCCAGGTGGGACTTGAGAGACGATAGCGACAAACCTCGTTCGGTAAGATGCAGCAAGAACGAGAGGATCGTCGGTATCGAAGGCCGATGGTCGTCTAGGCCCTTCTCGGCGAGAAAAGCCTGGAAGCGGTTGAGGCACGCCGAGTAGCACTTCTTGGTTGCCGGTTTATGGGCTGCCTCCAGGATAGGAAGGACTCCTGGGCACAGGGCTCTTAAAACTGGATCCTCCACGCCGAAAGATGCAGAGAAGCGAGGTCGGGGTGGAGAAGCTGACCGTCCTCTCGGGAGAACAGATCCTGCCGAAGTGGAAGGCGTTTCATCCGCCCCTCGGACACCTGGAGTAGGACCGAGAACCACGGTTGTCTTGGCCATTCCGGCGCCACCAAGATGCAGTTCGTTTGCGCCGACTGGATCCTTTCGATCACCCTCGGGATGAGCGGGAAGGGAGGGAAGAGGTAGAGCAGATGCCTTGACCAGTCTAACAGGAACGCGTCTCCGAGGCATCCCGGTACCGTGTTCGGAGCAAGTCGAGCACCGAACTGAGGGAGCTGAGCGTTTTGCGGCGACGCGAAGAGATCTGCGACTGGAAGGCCCCACTCCTCGAAGATCTTTGCCAGCACATCGGGGTTCAACTTCCACTCGTGAGATGTTGCCCTGGTTCTGCTGAGTGCGTCGGCCTCGGTGTTGCTCTCGCCCGGGAGGTGCAGTGCTGTTATCGACACCGACCTGGCTACACACGAGTCCCAAAGCTCCATTGATAGCTTGAGGAGTTTTCTCGAGCCCGTTCCGCCCTGCTTGTTCACGTAGAACATTGCCACCATGTTGTCCGTGAGAATTTGGACGGACTTGCCGGTAACCAGGAGGGCAAATGCTCTCAGGGCCTTGAATATTGCCAGCAGTTCTAGGTAATTTATGTGGCATTGTCTTTCTTGTGGAGACCAGAGATCGTGAACCGAGAGGTCTCCTTTATGGCATCCCCATGCGAACATCGAGGCGTCCGTCGTGATCGTGACGGCCGGGGGCTCTGGGTGAAAGGGAATGCCCTTGCAGACATGCTGGCGGTTCATCCACCAGCTCAGAGAGTCCTTCACTGGCCTCGGTACCAGTAGGCGCTTCGTGGCACTGTCCCGCATGGGGTTGAAGTGGTCCAAGAACCATCTCTGGAGGGGGCGGAAGCGGAGTCTTGCCAACGGTGTCACCATCACCGTGGAGGCCATGTGTCCGAGGAGAACTTGTATCTGTTTGGCCGAGGTCACCCGAGAGCGACGGACCTTGAGTGCCTCGGCTCGAAGAGCTCTGAATCTCTCCTCTGGGAGGGAAACTGTCTGGGAGAGAGAATCGAACATGGCGCCGATGAATTTTATGCAAGTGGTGGGTTCGAGATGGGATTTTTCCTCGTTCAACTGGAGGCCCAGGTCTTCGAGGAGGGAAAGCGTCCTTGCCACCTGAACTCTCAGGAGGTCCGGGGAGCGTGCTGCCAACAACCAGTCGTCTAGGTAAGGGAAAATGCGAATCTTTTCCCTTCTGAGGGCTGCTGCGACCACCGACATGCATTTGGTGAAGGTCCTCGGTGCCGTCACGAGACCGAAGGGAAGGACATCGAAATTGTATGACTGTCCCGCTACCCTGAAGGCCAGGAAGCGCCTGTGATGTCTCCTGACTGACAGATGAAAGTAAGCGTCCCGGAGATCGACGGACGCGAAGAAGTCCCCGTATCTGAGGAGAGGAAGAATGGACGATACCGTCACCATCCGAAACTTTTGGGGTTCGATGAAAAAGTTTAAGTCTCTGAGGTCGAGGATGGGGCGGA